ATGTTTCAGGACCTTCATCTACTGATGTGGAATGACTCAAAATGAGAAAAAACAGCTGCGAACATCCATTTATATCGGAATATGGAATGTACTAAGTATGAATCTAGGAAAATTGGAAGTCATCAAAAATGAAATGGAATGCTTGAAGATAGCTATCTCAGGCATTGGTGAGTTGAAATGGATTGATATTGGCCATATTGAATCAGGCAATCATATGGTCTACCATGCCTAGAATGACAAATTGAACAGGAATGGTGTCACATTCATTGTCAAAAAGAACATTTCAAGATCTATCCTGAAGTATTCCCATTTATTCATTCTTTTACCTTCAGCTATTACTTCTCCTTCTTTTCATTTGTTATTTATTTGTACCCAAACTTTTCCACCTTGGGAAGGAACATCAGGTTCAGCTTCTGTGCTAGCCCATATTTCTGGTAGCAAGATCAGTCTAGCAAGTGCTTCCCACTCAGTCCATTCTTATTTATGTTGTTTAGGGTTACATAGGTACAATACTAGTAGGCTATCTCAATCAATGGGCAATACAGCAGTACTCACTGCCAACCCAAATTTTGCCAGGTAGGGGGAAGGTAAAATCCATCCCATTAGGCCCTTGGGAATTCTGGCATACATGTTGAGGGGTATAGTTACAGTCTCTTGCAAAAGAATCACCCCCGCTTCTGGCACCCACAGCTGCATCCCTGGTCCTGGAATCACAGCATCCAGCAGGAAAACAGCAATTTTAGGTGATGTGGGGAAGAACTGTACAGTGGCGCCAGCATCCTCCCACACATCTCTTCCCCAGACCCCCCCAGAGAAATGTAGGAATCTGTCCAGTGGTGATCCTCCCTTTGTCCCCCTCATGTTGAGTGTGAGCACACACTCATGAAGGTGTGTGAGCCAGCCCTTCATGCCTTTGTCTTCCCCCATTTTAGATAACAAATGTCTTAATTGCCCATTCCAATTCTCTATCAAACCATTACTTTGGGGTGGTATGCAACATGGTATGTCCATTTAATATGATGTTTCTTGGCCCATTGCTGCACCCTGTGGTCTGTAACGTGTGCCCTTGGTCTGAAGAAATGTAACTCAGTGGCCCAAATTGGTACAGTATCTTTTGTTCCAATCCCTTAATGGTATTGTTGGCATTTGCATCTGCCATGGGATATGCGAAGTCCAGTCCAGAGTAAGTATCTATCCCTGTGAGGACCCATTTGTAGCCACCTGGTGCCACTAGCGTCATTGGTCCAATATAATCAACTTGCCAGCTATGTGCAGGGTCTTCCCCCTGGGGAATCTGCCCCATAGCCATCTGCAACCTCTGTCTTCCTTGCTGGAGACAGACATGTCCTTATTAGTATTTTTGTGCCTCAGAGGGTGCAAGGGGAATGTGTCTAATTCAACTCATCTCTGCACTCCTACAGCACCCCCATGTCCACTCATTTCATTGACCCAGCTGGCCACATCAAGTGAGTGTACCAACAGGTCCATTTGCTGATTCCAATTGCCTTCCTATCCAGGAAGGGGTTTTTTTCTGATGAGCATCAATATGCCCTACTCTGATGTTCCCTCTAAGTTCCTAGAGCGCTTTCCATAGGTTCATATCCCACACAGGTGTCCCCTTAATAGTTCAATTCTCCATCGCCCATTTGCCTGACCATATAGCCAGGCCATTGGCCACTGCCCATGAATCGGTAAAAATCCAAACATAGGGGCTCTCACCATTGTGCAATCTTTCCATCATGGCTAGAAAGACAGCATGCAGTTCAGCCCACTGAGCTGACCTCTTCTTACCTTCAGAGTCTTTCTATCTGCTGGTCTTAACACAGCAGCTTTCTACATCACATGTTGTTCATGTACCCTGAGCGCTTAACCACTGCACCACCAGGGCTCCTTTTATAGTATAATAGAAAAGAACAAGCCATGTTCTTCCCTTGCTAAACATGCCTCTTTTGTTCCAGCTGGACACAGTACAAGCCACAAACTACTAAAGCAGCTATATAACTCCAAGTCATAAAATCCCCAACTTTATTCTCTGATGCAGGTATGTTCTGCTGTTGTGGCACTAGTGTAAATAGTTGGCTTAATTTTGCATTAGGAGATGATGGTAGCCCTCTGAAGTGTTATTTGGTGGGTAATACTTCCACAGTCACTATGTTCCAACAAGGAGTATGTTTACCTTATATACAGAGCATCATTGATGAATGGACAAAGTTCGCATCTAGGTTTTGATTTGTTATGAGCCTGGACCCAAGAAGAACCTTAACCATACTGTCTCCAACTGGACTTACTTTCTCAAACCTTACCATTTTCTAAGCTGCTCAATAAAGTCCTCACACTGAGCTCTTACAATATTGCACATGGTGCCTCTGTTGGGGCATGTCCCCTGCCACCGTATACATTTATAAACATTAAAATTAAAACTCATTTTTAAATGATGACCAAACATATTAGAGGAGTACTATTACTATTCTCCTCTTCCATAAATCAGGTGAACCCAAATAAGGCATTGCATACACACAGGACTAAAGTAAAAGTAAATATTTTCAAATTAGTTCTATAAATAAACAAATAAATAAAAATTTATGGAGAAAGCATAATGAAAAAAGCTCTGGCTAAGGAGAAAAGAAATCTGGGTTTAAAGCCCATTCCACTCATTTATTTGCTGTACGACCATGGACAAGTTATTTTTGTGTTCTGAAACTCTATTTATGATTTTCCCTCATTAAAGTTATTTTTAAAATTAAAAAAATAATTCATACAGACCTCACAAGATATGGCATGGCTACATGAAGATCTCCATGGACCTATTCCCCAGTAAAACTGGTAAAAATTATTTTTAAAATAAATAAAAACCCCACAGAACTATTTAAAGTCTATGGAAAAGATCCTAAGAGCATATACCAAATGAGGAAACATTTATTCAAGACAATTTACTAAAACTCGTAAGAACAGTGAGTCTGTGGCATTTACATCATGACCTGCTCCTTCTCTCTCCCCTCCCAGCTCAGTGCAATGGAAACCCGACTCCATATGGGTGCAGCCAAGATATACAGCCTCTTCTCCCCCCAGTTCCCAGTCAGAGGGATAGAGTATATTATCAGGAGGGCAAACCTTAACATTTCTCATCCTGCCTCCAGCTACCTGTTGTAAAGGATAAATTCCTGGTAAGAACAGCCGAGAGACAGGGGCTCACTGCTTCCATTCAGCTCCTATATGTGAAACAGAGGCTGTATCGTGGGCGTGACACACTGAGAATACTGGAGCCCTGATTGCCCTTGCCCTAACTCAGAAGGCAGAGATTCCACACCAGGAGAATCAAGCCTAGAAGACCTGAGGATACTGCCTCTCCATCCTTGCAAGCACTCAGCTTCTAAAGCAGGGATGTCACTCAGAGAGAAAAATCAATAGTCCTATTCCCAGCTCCAGAGCTGTGGCTCTGAGATTTGGTCTAGAGGGAGAGACATGCCATAAAACAGAGAGCTCCAAAACTGTTTACAAAGAAACTGACTTCATTTTCAACAGAATGTGAGGAGTTTCAAACCTAAAGACGCTCTTGAAAACAATGGAGGTCTTACTGAAAAGCAATCAAGAGACGACTGGTAGATTCATTAGAGAAATAAGCAAATCATAGGCCAGCTAGTTTATTACCAAAGAGAGCCATCGAGAGAGACAGCAAGGAAGAGCCTTCTTGGGGTCAGAACAAATCTCAAACACTAATTTCAGTAATCATCTCTGCAAAGGAGCTTGAATTTAATTGGGTCAGTATGGAACAATTTGTGCTCCAAGTGACAGGTGAAAACAATAGAGTAATTAGTTCAGCTTAGCAGCTGGGTGTGATCAGGGAAAGAGAAAGTCAACTAGAGGCCTGTCAAAGCCACTGTGGTGCGACGGTGATTGTTTACATGCCCATGGCTGCGCCCTTTGAGGAGCAATATCAAAGGATTCACATTGTCAGGTAATTAGACTTCACTAAAATAATCCACCCAGTTACTAAACAAATAAGCAAATAACAATAACAAACATGGTGGTGGTGGGAGGGCGGAGCTGTATCCAGAGTTGCTACAATACATTATCTAAAATATTCAGTTTCTAACAACAAAAAAAATCACATGAAAACAAGTATGTATATATATATATACACAGAGAGAGATTTAAAGAATTGCCTCACATAACTATAGGGGGCTGGCAAGTCCAAAATATGTAGGTGCCAATATCCATTGGTCAGGTGAAGGGAAGAGTGAACTATGAGGGAATTCTGGAAAAATATCTATTGATAGTCTGGAGACAGAATACGCCCTAGGTAAACTCTCTTTTTGCTCTCAACGCATTCAATGATTAGATGAGGCCCACCTACAGGTAATCAACTTTACTTAAAGCCAACAAATTTAATCAAAGGTAACTACTTCATAACAGCATCTAGACTAGTGTTTGACCAAACAAGTGGGCACCATACTCCAGCCAAGGTGACATAAAAAAATAACTATCACACAGACTATACTTGTACATTGTAAATGTAATTTAAAAAGTAATCAATTGATATAATTATAGTAGGAGATGAAAGAAGGAGAGGAGGTCATGCATGTGAGTGAAATACTCCCTAGCAGTACTGGAAATCAATAGCTAATATTTCAAATTAATAAAGATAAACTTTTCAAGAGATAATGAAAGTATGAACTATATATGAAAGACATGAAAATAACTAGCATAAAATCTAGATGAAGAAACAGTGAAAATGTTTAAGTACGAATTACATGGAGTTGTAGAAATAAGGTTTGGGAAAGGTGATGGAGGAGGCTATTGCTTTTCATTATGTACTTTCAGAGTTATTTGATTTTACCCATGTCTTTATATTACTTTATAACACAAAATATGATTGCATTATGTTTTAAATAGCACTCCACAGTATTAGAGTATTACAGTACTACTAAAGAAACAATTTTTCATGAAAATGTTTAATAAGCTAAGCAAAGATAGTATGATAAATTATTCCTATATTCTACTTTGGCTTTTTTGTTCTTCAGTCCCCTTGGGATCAAATAATATCGTGAGTACAAAGAACTCGTGCGGAGGGTATCTGTTCCAAGTTTTGATGATGAATATTGCACTCAATGAAGGGGGATTTTTTACTCATACTTAGTCTTATAGTTTTGTTATGATGGTCTTCAAAATTAGTCAAGGCTAATATATGCAAAGTCCAGATACTGCCTATAAAATAAAAAGGTCATGTTTTTTAACTCTATATCTCCATCAGCGATAAAAAAAAATGCAGGTCCCATTTATTATGGGACCTAGGATTTGTTTGTTTGTTCATTTTACCAATTTAGGTACAGTTTTCCTATTGTCTCAGTGTTCCATTTAGTTCATACTTAGCTAAAAAGGCAAAAACCAACCCATAAGTCCAAACCACCATCATCCTTTAGACTCCTGCAATAATAGTCTCTGTTCTTTGGCCCATATTTTCTTGTCCTCTTCTAGTCTGTTTTCCATATAACAGCAGGAATTATTTTTTTTTGAAACATAAATATTATCATATCATTTTTCTGCCTAATCCTAATTGCAATTAAAATTAGAATGAAATCTAAACTGATTAACATGACCTACAATGTCCTCAAATTATGGCTCTGCCTCACTATCCACTGCATCTCATATCCTTCCCCAATTTATCTACTCTGTTTTAGTCACATGAGTGTTCTGTACATTCTAAGAACTCACAAAGTACATTGCGACTTTAATCATCTGCACTTGCTGTTCCCAGTGCCTAAAGTGTATAACAGGCTGTATGGGCTTAGTTACTATTTGTAGCTTTATTTTTCCTTTCAATAATACCACCTTGCTATAGAGTAGTATAGAGTAACTGTAGAGTAATACAGAGCATAAAGTTAGGTTTATTACTGGACTATAAAGGATTATGAGGAATTATTTCATTACTTGCAAGTTCTAGGAAGACATCTACCACGTGTCTCTCTGTTTTTCCTACTGTAGTGGCTTGCATGTTGCTGTGATACTGTAAGTTTGTCACCAATATTTCAAATACCACCACAGTTATCATTGGTGGACAGGTATCAGCAGAGTTTCCAGACTAAGACAGACTAGGAAAAAAGACCTAGCAGTCTACTCCTGAAAAAAAAATTGGCCAGTGAAAACCTTATGAATAGCAGGGAAACATTGTCTGATATAGTGCCAGAAGATAAGCCCCTCAGGTTGGAAGGCACTCAAAAGACAACTGAGGAAGAGCTGCCTTCTCAAAGTAAAGTCGACCTTAATGATGTGGATGGAGTCAGGCTTTTGGAACTTTCATTTGCTGATGTGCATGACTCAAAATGAGAAGCAACAGCTGCAAACATCCACTGATAATCAGAACAAGGAATGTATGAAGTAGGAATCTAGGAAAATTGCAAGTTGTCGAAAATGAAATGAAACGCATGAAGATCAATATCCTAGGCATTAGTGAGCTGAAATGGACTGGTATTGGCCATTTTGAATCAGACAATCATATGATCTTTTATGCTGAGAATGACAAACTGAAGAGTAATGGGGTCGTGTTCATCTTCAAAAAAACATCTCAAGCTCTATCCTGAACTACAATACTGTCAGTGATAGGATAATATCCATATACCTACAAGGAAGATCAATTAATCTATTATTCAAATTTACCCACCAACCACTAAGGCCAAAGATGAAGAAACTGAAGATTTTTACCAACTTCTGAGTCTAAAATTGATCAAACCTGCCATCAAGATGCACTGATAATTACTGGTGATTGGAATGCAAAAGTTGGAAACAAAAAAGAAGGATCAGTATTTGGAAAATATGGGCTTGGTGAAAGCAATGACATCAGAGATCACATAATAGAATTTTTCAAGACCAACAACCTATTCGTTGGAAATAACTTTTCTCACCAACATAAATGGCAGCTCTACAAGTGGACATTGCCAAACGGAATACACAGGAATCAAATTGACTACATCTGTGGAAAGAGATGATGGAAAACCTCAATATCATCAGTCAGAACAAGGCCAGTGACCTACTGCAGAACAGACCATCAATTGCTCTTAAGCAAGTTTAAGGTGAAGTTGAAGAAAATTAAAACAAGTTTACAAGAGCCAACGAACGACCTTGAGTATATCCCACCTGAATTTAGAGACCATCTCAAGAATAGATTTGACAAGTTGAACATTAATGACCAAAGACCAGACGAGTTGTGGAATGACACCAAGGACATCATACATGAAGAAAGCAAGAGATCATTAAAAAGACAGGAATGAAAGAAAAGACCAAAATGTATGTCAGAAGAGACTCTGAAACTTGCTCTTGAATGTCGAGTAGCTAAAGTAAAAGGAAGAAATGATGAAGTAAAAGAGCTGAACAGAAGATTTCAAAGGGCAGCCCGAGAAGACAAAGTAAAGTATTCTAATGAAATGTGCAAATACCTGGAGATAAAAAGCCAAAAGGGAGGAACACGCTCAACATTTCTCAAGCTTAAAGAAGTGAAGAAAAAATTCAAGCCTCAAGTTGCAATATTGAAGGATTCTATGGGGAAAATATTAAACAATGCAGGAAGCGTCAAAAGAAGGTTAAAGAAATACTCAGAGTCACTGTACCAAAAAGAATTGATCGACATTCAAACATTTCAGGAGGTAGCATATGATCAAGAACTGATGGTACTGAAGGTAGAGGTCCAAGCTGCACTGAAGGCATTGGATAAAAACAAGACTCCAGGAATTGACAAAATACCAACTGAGACATTTCAGCAAGCAGATACAGCACTGAAAATGCTCACTCATCTATGCTAAGAAATTTGTAAGACAGCTACCTGGCCAAACAACTGGAAGAGATCCGTATTTGTACCCATTTCAAAGAAAGATGATTCAACAGAATGCAAAAATTATCAAACAATATCAGTAATATCACACACAAGTAAAATTTTGCTGAAGATCATTCAAAAATGGCTGCAGCGGTACATTGACAGAGAACTGCCAGAAATTGAAGCCGGATTCAGAAGAGGACTCAGAACAAGGGATCAGATGGATCGTGGTTGAAAGCAAAGAATACCAGAAAGATGTTTACCTGTATTTTATTGACTATACAAAGGCATTCAACGGTGTGGATCCTAAAAATTACGGATAACATTGCAAAGAATGGGGATTCCAGAACACTTAATTGTGCTCGTGAAGAATCTGTACTCAGACCAAGAGACAATCACTCAAACAGAACAAGGGGATACTGCATGGTTTAAAGTTAAGAAAGGTATGTGACAGGGTTGTTTTCTTTCACCATACTTATTTGATCTGTATGCTTAGCAAACAGTCCAAGAAACTGGACTATATGAAGAATAATGCAGCTTCAGGATTGGAGGAAGACTCTTTAACAACCTGTGATATGCAGATGACACAACCTTGCTTGCTGAAAGTGAAGAGGACTTGAAGCACTTACTGATGAAGATCAAAGACTACAGCCTTCAGTATGGATTACACCTCAACATAAAGAAAACAAAAATCCTCACAACTGGACCAATAAGCAACATCATGATAAACGGAGAAAAGATTGAAGTTGTCAAGGATTTCATTTTACTTGGACCCACAATCAAAGTCCACGGAAGAAGCAGTCAAGAAATCAAACGACTCATTGCATGGGACAAATCTGCTGCAAAAGAACTTTTTAATGCATTAAAAAGCAGAAATACCATTTTAAGGACTAAGGTGCTCCTGATCCAAGTCATGGTGTTTTGTTTTGTTTTTTTCCAAGCCACAGTGTTTTTAGTTGCCTCATATGCATGTGAAAGCTGGACAGCGAATAAGGAACACCAAAAAATAATTGATGCCTTTGAATAATCATATTGGTGAAGAATATTGAATATACCATAGACTGCCAGAAGAATGAACAAATGTATCTTGGAAGAAGTACAGCCAACATGCTCATTAGAAGCAAGGATGTTGAGACTTCATCTCATGTACTTTGGACTTGTTATCAGGAGGGACCAGTCCCTGGAGAAGGACATCATGCCTGGTAGAGCAGAGGGTCAGCGAAAAAGAGAAAGATCCTGAACAAGATGGATTTACACAGTGGCTGCAACAATGGATTCAAGCATAACAACAATTATGAGGATGGGTTAGGACCAGGCAGTGTTTGTTTTGTTGTACACAGGGGTCAATATGAGCTGGAACCAACTTGACGGCACTTAACAACAACGACAGGAAGGCATAGATTGCCTCTACTTTGTTTGCCATTTTAACACCATACTTGACTCACAGATGATGTTGGTTACGGATTGAATTGTGTCCCCTCAAAGTATGTGTTGGAATCCTAATCCTTACACCTGTGGATGTAATGTAATGTAGAGTTCCCTAGGTGGTGCAAATCGTTTGAGCTCAACTGCTAACCTAAAGATTGGTGGTTTGAACCCACCTAGCAGCACTGTAGAAGAAAAGGCCCAGTGATATGCTTCCATTAGGATTACAGTCAAGAAAACCCTATGAAGCAGTTCTACTCTGTAACACATGGGGTCACCATGATCCAGAATCGACTAGAAGGCAACTAACAGCAACAATGTAATGTAATCACTTTCCATACTGCAATATGATGTGATGCAGTCCATCAGTTGAGGTCAGATCAGTGTAGGGTGGATCCTAAACCTGATCACTTCTGAATCAAATAAAGAATAGCACAGTCACAGAGGCACATGCACACAAAGAGGAAGACAGAGGCCCTGTGAGGATCACCATGGAACCAAGGAATGTCCAGGGCTACTGAAAAGGAAGGAATCAACATGTCTGAGACCCTGATTTTGATTTTTAGCCTCCAGAACTGTGAGGGAGAAAAAAAATTCTGTTCTTTAAAGCCACAGAATTGTGGTATTTGTGTTACAATAGCACTAGGTAACTAACACAATGTTCAATAAATATTTGTGGAATACGTACTTCTTAGTGTCTTTCTCCCATTTGTTGTCTGCAGCCATGAGGACTGGAGTTTATCTAAACTAAACAAACATAGCCCTTGAGTCTATATACAAATATGGTGTTGTAAGTAGATAATGAATTTTCCATATTTTAATTACCTCTGATCTTCTTGCCCTGCTCACCTTGTCATCAGACTTTAAAGTGAAGGATAAATATTTGACTTAAAGTGACACAGAGAAGACCAGATAAATTTGTTATAGTTTGTTGTTACTGCTACATTCTCTTCTTGAGTAATGTGTACCTGCGCAA